CCCCAAAACCCCAAAACCCCAAAACCCCGTAAAGTTAGATTGAATTTTAATTTTGATTTTAATGAGATTAATTTTTGAATACATATGATCTGTATAATCTATTATATTCTTAAATGGCATCTTTAAAGCCTAACAATAACGGTAATCCTGCAAAGAAAATAGACAATAAAGTAAAACCTAAAGATATTAAAAAGAAGACAAAGTTTTCTACTGACTAGGAAGAGGAGGGTGATTAAGATTATGGTGATGAAGATAATAATGATGATCAATGGTTTAGCGATTCCTCTAACTCAGATAATGAGGATGAATCAAAAGAGGAAAGAGAGCCTCGACTTATAATGTATGCAGCCTTTACCTAGTATGATGTAGTCAAGGAGGTGGGTAAAATGATCTTTAACTATCATCTGACAAAAAATGATCAGAAAGATTGGGATATTGCTTGGTTTGATGGAGCTATCTCTCTTAAGCTTCTCTAGAGAATGTGGCCTCATCAGAGGACTAATCACTTTCCTGGTATGTATAATTTAGCAAGGAAGAACTGCTTAGGCAGGCATCTAATGCGAATGCAGAAATGGTTTCCAACTGATTACGATTTCTTCCCTCAAACGTACATGTGCCCCACTGACTACAAAGAGTTCAAATCATAAATCACTGCCAAGAGAAATAAAACTTTTATTGTCAAGCCAGAAGCTTCTTGCTAGGGTAAAGGTATCTTCCTTACTAGAAACTTTGAGGATCTTGATCCTAATGAGCACTATGTGGTTTAGAGGTATATGCACAAACCATACCTTATTGATGGCTACAAGTTTGACCTTAGAATATATGTCAATCTCGCTGGAGTGAATCCACTAAGAATATACATTTACAAAGATGGCTTAGCGAGATTTGCAACTGTTCCATATGAGTCACCTACCCCTTAGAATCTGTCGAATCTGTTTATGCATTTAACTAACTATGCAATCAATAAAGATAGTGAAAATTTTGTGGTTAATACTGATGAAAATCAAGATGACGTTGGAAGTAAGAGATCTTTTACGTCTGTTCTGAGAAAAATAGCTGAAGAGTTTGGAGAGGAAAAATGTGAGGAAGTCTTTGAGGGTATCAAAGATCTAATCATTAAAACGTTATGTATTGCCTAGCCATACCTGTAGCATTTGTATCACAGTTGCTAGCCAGATGATTTAGAGAACTCAATGTGTTGCCAAGTACTTGGCTTTGATGTGATGCTTGATCATACCTTAAAGCCACAACTTTTAGAGGTCAATTAGAGTCCAAGTTTCACAACTGACTCACCTTTGGATTATAAAATTAAAAAAGCTTTGATAACTGATACTATAAAGCTGTGGAACCTAAGCATAAAGAGAAAGCTTAGGACTAAAGGCAATAAAAGAGCAGAAATGCAACGAAGATTACTTAAGAATAATAACTAGGTAACTTTACCAATTAGAGACTAAAAAAATAATGAGAAGGGTAAGGAGAGTAAAGTAGAGGAGAAAAAGGACGAAAAGATTGAAGGAGTTGAGTAGACTCCAAAGCCTGCAATCAACCAGAAAGTTGCGCCACCTAAATCACCAAAGAATGACAAAAGACTGCTTAAACAGCAACTAATTGAGGAAAGAGAATAATAACGAAAAAAGAAAATGCTCCAGCGAGAAAAAATTGAAAAAGAACTTCAAGGCGATTACATCTTGATGTATCCATTAGTATCTTACGAAGAAGAGTTTTAAATTCTGGATGAAATAAAAGCAAAAGAGGAGCTTAACATCAAATCTAATGTGACTGAAGAAGATGAGCAAGAAATTGGGAAGGAGTATGGGCCACTTTGGCAGAAATAATAGAGATATCTACAATACATGGAGAAAGCAAAGTAGCTTTGGGAATCTTTCACTTAGGGTAACGCAGCGAATAAAAAGAAAAAGGAGCTAGAGTAAAAAGAGTAAGAAGAGAAGATAAAGAAGGAGTAAATAAAGAAAAAGCAGTTGATGATGCAAAAACTTAGGAAGTAGCATGAAGAGCGAAGAATGAAAGAAGAAGAAGATAGGAAACAGCAATATGAGTTTATGATGGCATATCAAGAGAGATATCGCTAAGAATAAGCAAAGATGGTAAATAATCAAATTCATCACGATGAGCCACTTACTGCATTCAGTTACTCTCAGACCCAGGATACTAGATACTTAAATTAGCAGGATAAATCCTTAAATTATATGAATCAAAACTAAAATCACATACCTATTAAAGGGACATAAAATGGATAGCAAGGGATTTTTTCTTCTAGAAATATGATGACCTATGATAGTTAGCAATAAAAGATAATCTCTCACCAAATAATTGAGTTTCAACCTCAGATTAACTTTTCTGCAAAGACAACTCTTAAAGACAAACTTAGTTAGGATGCTAGAATGACTTTAGACACTAGAAGAGTTGATTCGTCACAGAATCAAATGCACGCAAATTTCCATTTACCTGAAGTGGGTAAAGCAGCCTTTTCTATTAAGAAGCAAGTTCATGAAGATTATGCGAAACTTACTGCGGCTAATCAAGACCATGACACTTCTCTCCCAGCAGTACCTGCCTTGACATCTGGATCACAAAAAAGAAAAGATACTCCTAGTGATAGTTAATCACAATCTTATAAGCCTCCCCTCAATGTATCCTCAAATTAGAAAAGACAAGAATCAGGTTCTTCTTCCAGATTAGTAAACAAAAAATAATCTATAACCTAAGTCATAAATAACAACTAAATTGCAACAAACCTCAAACTTAACGAACTGCTTTAGCTATCAGCAAATCAGTACTACTTGAACAATAACCCACTTGGTCACTAAATTCCAACTAATCAAAATGGCAGTAAACAGTCAAACATTTAGCCTCAAATAATTCAAAATAAGATAAATGATACGTAGATTAATGGTGTAAGTCATTATTAAATGCCTGCTAATTATGAGCTTATCAGAAGTTTATCATTAGATAGGAAGGAACTTCCATCAATCGGATAAAGCTAAATTGTGAAGAGTTCTCACTCTGCTTAGAATTCATAATAAAGTATAAAGTAAAATATCTAAAGCAATCAAATACAGCAGCAATTGACAAAGAAAGCCCCGCCAAAAACTCATAAGAGTGAAGTACTTACTGATCCAGGAATATCACTAGGAGTGGTTGGTGAAAGAAAAGTACTAATTAATACTCAGTAGCAGTCAAGTGATATGTATGCTGGATTCTATAAGAAAAATAAGGCTCTCAACGTGAAAGATAAGTCCCTTAGTAACATTAGAATTGGAATAAACCCAGGTATCAATCATATTGGCAATCTGAATAACGGTGGAGGGCCTAATTATATCAACACAAGTGAATTATATAAATTGACGCATTGACCTTTTATTAATATGACGTTTCTTAATTTATTTTGCTCCTAGGGGTTTTGGGGTTTTGGGGTTTTGGGG